CGTTATTTCTTAGTGAAAGCTCATGTTCCCGTGCACGGTCGTTGGCACAACCCCCCCGTATGGCCTGCGTAAGGATGCCCATAAGGCAGCGGTATTTCATAGACGATGCCAGTGGCACATTTAACATTTGCAAAAGCGTGCTCCTTTCTGCAACCGCTGGATTTCTTCTCATGAGAGGAGATTCTAGGACAAAGTTCAGCCAGCTTATGCGGGGCGAAAAACACCATCAGCACATTATGCTTACTCACTATCTTTTTCAAGTTGCGGGCAGTTTGATACATATAAGGCATCACCTCTGGGCTGTACCTGCAATGCAGGCCAGGGTCCACGCCGAAATGGGCTGCTTTGGCATCAAGCAGAACCTCTGTGAATGTCGTCACGACTGCACAAAAATACCTAGCAGCAAATACACGCCAGACCTGATCATTAACGCTATCTTGCATGGCATGTAGACATGATATCCTGAGAGCAGAATGTAGGCACAGTTTGGCAATCCTCCTCTTCGCAAGCTTAGACTGTGCAGAATCATAAAGCAAAAGGGCTTTCTGCCCCCAGGGACTGTAACGCCAACAAATATGATCAGCTAAAATGAGTGGTAGATCTAAAAACTGCAGCGAGTTATGAGTGGTAAATCCATAGGTATAGGTCAAGCCCTTTCCGTCCTGTTTGAAAACGTTTAAAATAGCCCTAACGGAGTTGTCTTAAAGTTATAAAACAGGGTCTTTTTAAGAGAGGGGACATGAGCATGTGCTAAGAAACAAGAGCTTTCTCTTAGAAATAACGGGAAGGCGTATTTGCCTAGCTTGCAGGTTTTTAGAGAGATTAGGATTTTGGGTATGAGCAGTGATACAACAGCACTCGAACTGTTCGAAGCCTTTTATGTTTCTGCAAGAGGCATTGCTTGTGTTAGCGATACGCCAATTTCCTTGTTTGATAGCGAGCGTAAGTTTCTATGCAGCTTCTTGTAAGCTGTTTGGCTTTCTGACCATGTGACCATGCACACGTGACTATGTACTTCCGTAAGTATATATTTGAAGGTTAACGAACAATAAAATTCAGTTGAAAGTTCGCGCTTGCCCTGTCTCATATTTTCTGTGTCCTTGTCTTCAATATTCGCACACTTGTTTTTCTTTGAACTAATGCACTCTTTCCTCGCCACGAGTGAACTTCAACAGCTGGGTGGTTTAGGGGCTGTTTGAGGCTAAAGCCTTAGATGCCTCATCAAATGCGAATGCGAAATTATCATCGATGCAAGATACCGTCGTTGAGGGTGTTGACACGAGAGGTGCGAAAAACCATCACATAATGACATCACCATATGATGACATCACATAACCTATTGCGGGGCATGTAATAGAAGGTCACACAATGGGGTCATTGTGTGACACCATGATTTTGCTTTGCCCTCGTGATCATTGGGATTACCACAGATGTCAAGGTGTAGGAAACTTCCAGTGAATCCGATCCTGGACATATTGTGAAACCAGCTGAGGTACAGACAGTTTTCGCAGGGTGCAGGGAAGCATCAGTACCCAAACTGAAACAACAACAGCGAAAAAAAAAAAAAACGTTTGCGTTTGAGTTGTTTTAGGCTATTGCATAAGGGAGCCTGACAGTTGATTTTGCTTTTCAGTTGCAACTTTCTCTAAACGACTTTTCATTATTCCGAATCTTACCTAGATTTTCATCCGATGATATGATCTGCACTTATTGTGTTGGGAATTGATTTTTGCACAAGTGAATTCATACCCTATGAGACCGCAAGTTCTGGCAATTGATTTTATTTGGTTGATATGCTTGCACTTGTACACATGCACAGCACATACCTTGCGAGTACATTTTAAGTTCGCACTGTGTAGGCGGGTGAGCTTGTTGTTCTTGAAGTGGTTCACTTCTTTGCATGACTGGTGCAGAAGCCTAGCTGCGATTCCAGCTGCACACAGTCAGGGGCGTGCATGTTTAACGTCCTCTTCCCTTAACTCGAGTCATTCTAGCTACAACGTATTCGGGCAAATAAGGCAACAGGCTAGGTCAACAAACACCATTTGACAAGACTGTATTCAGCTGGCTTCCCAAGCTCCATCGTAGTGGCCATCTCAAGCCTTCTTCAGAAGGTGAAGAATGTTAAAAGGATACATCCAGCCTGGTCCAAAAAGGAGGCAAGCCCGTCATGGTGCCCTACGTCCACCAGCTTCCCCACATCCTAAGAAGGTTGCCAATGACTACGGTGTGCACGTTGTCTTCTTGACACCACGCAAGTTCGCCGGACTGTGTCCGTGAGTCAGCTGCATAGATAAAACGCTCAAATGCCAGTAGAAGCACACCGAGACCTTGTGTGCAATGCCCGACAGGTGTCGTATATGAAATACCGCTGTCGTGTGGAAAGACAGTACGTGGGTGAAGTGGAATGCTGTCTCCATGGACTGAGCTTGGGAGCATGAATTATCGTTGAAGAATAAAAGAAATGAGCACTTACCTGTGCACTGTATAGTCTGCAGATTTGAGCCTCAGCTTCATGAGATCAAGATAATAGGCACAAGCAACGATACATTAGCGCTAGAGGCATTGGAGGCAGTTCATATTTAGAAAAGAGGCACGGGTCGCATCAGTGATACGTCTGTTTAATTTTACCACAATGAGCTTCAGCTTCTTGATACGCAAGTGTGACTAGTGTTCACTGATATTGATGCATGCATTTGCAGAGACTCGTAATCTGGGGGCTTTTTCTTTTTAATAAACAGTTGAAATTCATCGCCTGACCTTTCTGCTTCCCCCATACTTCTTTCCTTGAATTTATCGGCGCTTTTATGTACCCCAGTCCCGCAAAGAACACTTTTTTGCTATATTAGCAATAAATGCATAAATGTTGCGTGGATGAATTGTTCGCACACGAAGAAACTCGACGCGCTGCGAACCACGGCATTACCAGTGACAACGTTGTCATAGCAACAGCACATGCGATACGTATCGGGTGCTGCAGCCAGGCCAATGGGCGCGTGCCTCTGATAATTTATCTAGTCAAATGCGCCTTGCAAGTGAGCCGAGAAATTGTGCCCTAAACATAACATCGTGAAAAAAAGGGGGGGGGGGGGGGGAGAGTGTAACTGTTCGAAAATTTCTTGGCCTTGCGAAATCCCGCTCAAGCCACAGTCACTGCAGTACACCGATAGCCTGTGAAAAAAAGAGTTTTGAGATTTGGAAGGGGTCGTGAGCACTAGTCATAGGACACGGCATAGTTTGTTCATACTCATGCATGTATGCGCTGCATAATTGTGAGTTTCTTCCCACAGAGAAGCCGCGTTGCACTGCTCGCGTGTAGTGGTCAATTGCACATTTATATCATTTGCAGTGACCGGGGAAACTATTCGTATACACACTGAATGGCTACGTATTTTATAATATGCAGTAGTCTATCCAAAACAAACCTAAAATTTGTGTCACCACAAAATTCGCATCAACCCTAATCGTGTGATTGATATTCACCTGTACTGATATGATCGTTGATGTCCAAAAAGGTTACTGGCAATCATTTGGAGCACTCTAGGACGAGTCTGAAACCATAAAGTAAAATCAAACAAAACTGGGAAAATCTTTTTTTCACTCCCGCTACTCCTCAGTTTTACGAATCTCCTGAATTTCAATGTCACAGATGTGGCTCAATTTTACATGTATCAGTTTCATGCCTAGTCACCATAGGTTTTTCACGATGCTTGTTGGTAGAATGCTCAGTGTTGTTTGTGCAAATTACCTGTTGTCCCCTCGCTTCAGGGGCCTCCATGAGAAGAACTAAATGGAGTCACTTGTTTTGGGTTCCAGAAACAAGAGACGTCTATTCATCATATAGTAAACTTGAAGCATTCTTTTAAACATTTAGCAGTGGATGATTCCACAATCATGAAATCAACCAGTCTTCATGTCGTTTCCTTCAATTGTGCAGTTTTCTAAGAGGAAAACAGGGGATTTCCAGCTTTCTGTGAAATGAAATTGAAATTTCCTGTTGTGTACAGTGCTCGATATTTGGCTAACATGTTATCAGACGCCTTGACAGCTTGTCGGCAGTGTTTTTCAAGTACATTCCAGTGCTATCGGGCCCCTTTGACTCGTTGAGGTTTTTCGCTATTGGGTACATTTTCAACCCATCGTTGGAAGCTTTGCTCCGTAGTGACCTTGCATGCTCACTGAGAGGTGCTGCCACCACTGGACTTTTACGAGTCCTAGGTAGTCCTGAGCGTTTGAAATTTCATTGTGCTCTCTTTTCGAGGAGATAGACATAACCTATTTCTAAATTGAGTGTTGCAGGATTTCCAACTTATTGCCCCAAGAGAGCAGACACCCGTTTTATGCATGCATGCAGACAATGATGAGGCATTGCATGTCGATCCATGATTCAAGAAACACGACTTTCTGAAATCTGTTGAGCAATTAACATATTTAAGGGATGCTAACACCAAAAGCTGTTCCTGATTTTGTTTTTACAATTCTTTACTGACTTTACAGATTTTTTAAATTGAAAATTTGCAGTTAAGTAATTTAACCTTCATAAAAATGGAAGCTTGAGCTAGTTGATATGCATTTATTTTGGTTGAACAGCGCAACTTTGTCGTCGTCTCATGTGCACTGTTCAACCAAGATAATTTACCTTCAGGGAAAGCTTAAAGAAAAACAAATTGACCCTTGAAAGGTTAATATGAATATTTAAAAAAAATTAAAGAAAAAAAACTATTTTGCCCCCAAAAAACTATTTTGCCCCACAGAAGAAACATAATTACATTCAGTGGCAAGTAATTGACAGTTGTCCTGTAATGTGCTTTCAAGCTGCTGTAGAAAGTTCTACTTGGACAAGGTCTTTTTATTGGAGCGCCCAATTTAGTAATCTTCTGAGTACGTGAAGAACGTCTCAGGCAATGAAACGGTGAATTGCTGTGCTGTTTGTCCCAAAATGTTCTCTGGGAACATTTCACGAATTTCCGATGTAATATCTTCTGTTTTCCATAACACAGCATCCTGGAAAAGTCTGGACCCATGCTTGAAAAGGAGGCACTGGTAAGCGGTTTTGATCATTAGCATATAATTTGATTTTGCTCTCTGCTGCACGAGTAGAACAGACAGGCTCTGGAAAGTTCTAATTATTGGAAAGAAGTTTTGGAAAGTATGAACTTAAAGGCCGTAGCGAAGCCTCGGAACATAGCAATAGGTTTCACTCTCGAGTGCTTTCTAGTAGGTTATCTTCGAAAAGGACGCCGCTCGCGCTTTGTTGCTGAGTGCCGCCTAGTAAACACCTTAACAGTGCTATTGTTCAGTTGAACTGCTTAAGTATTTTTATTTTCTCAAGATCGGCTCAATTAACCTTGGTTGTTACGATTGTAAATTCAAGGTGATTATCTGGTCATCAACAATGTGCTACTACATGAAGTGGCAGTGAAGCCATTGCATGCCCACTTTTTTCCTCTTTTTCCTTATGTATCACTTTAATTCAGTTGATCTCTTCTGTGAAATGTCTTTGCTTTGTCCTGTCTAATCCTCTCTCCATGGCGCCTCGATAGTGCACAGCTGCATTAACTTTCGAACGCTAGTAGTATGCCCTCTCACACATTCTTGCAAGTTGCTCTTCAAGAAAAGCTTATTTCAATTTAGGGTCAACAGTCTAGTTCATTATGCAAAAGAAATTAAAAAAAGATGTCACGGCAGTTATAACGGTAGAAATTTCGCATGACAGTATTAAGAAACTCGTTGTACCAACCAATGCTGGCCTTCAATTCAGTGGCAGCCATATAGAGCCCCTATTTGAGAACTTTGCTCTCCACAAGAAAAGACTGTCCTTGTTTTAACTCACAGAATGTGTGAAGAACCTTTTTAGTAGCCCGAAGCTGTTTTCTCCCACAACAAGCACGCACGGATCGATGCCAAAGTGGCGTCCAGCCACTCGGTTCCATGCTCCAGTGCATATTTGACCAACTTTAAGTTTAAAACTGGCTGATCGTGCCCTGCGCAACAGGTGTCCAACGGAGTTCACTACGACAAACACGACATAAAAAAAAAAACCAGGCCTATGCGTTAGGCGCAGCACAGTCACAGTAAAAGCTAGAAAAGTGGCCTTTCAGAGCCTTTTCTAAACACTCATTGGGTAACTACTGCAAGCACACTTGCTTGATACCCACTGCAGCATTATTAACAAAATTTTTTAATAGAAGGTCGGCATTCGCGATGCTATTTTTTGTCATTCTTCTGAAAAGTGTGGTATCCGCTAAACACTTGCAAGGAATATTGTGCCAATTGTTCATGCAATGGCTAACGACGATGAGAAATCATGCCTGAAATGGATATGCACCACAGGTAATAGGTGAACAAGAACAAGCTTTTGTAATGGGTTGCAGCGTTGGACGACCCGCTCGTTACGCTATTCGCATTGTGCGACTGACAGGGTGTTTTTTGGCTGTTTTAAAATACTTTATAAGTCGTATTAACGCGATTGCTTTTCTGACATCAAGCTGCCTAAGGCAATGTTTGCCAATGAGTCCGAAGAACCAGCGTAGCTCAGTGGTAGAATACTAGGCTGGCACCCAGCGGAGCCTGGTTCAAGCCCCACTGTGTCATTGGTGCTAAGGTTTTTTTTTCTAATTTTGTGCGACGTGGCTACAGACACCGGCAGTGGCGGTGGCAGACAATTACGGTGGTGCGTGACCCTAGTTGCGATCTCATAACAGCTTTCTATGTAAAACCTAGCGTCGGATGTTGCTGCATGCATGCTGTGGTCTTGCAGGTGAACCGGATTGTTGCACCTGGTTGCGCATTGTTTCTCGATTGGTTTTCATGCCACTGTGCTTGCGTGGTGCTATAAGCTAAGAGGTTTCTTCTGCACTCAACAGATGGGGCTTTGCCGCAAATGGTGTGACTTTTGAACTTTTTTTTTTTGTCGTGCACGCTTGTGCTGCTCGAAACTGTTTAGCATGGTTGTTCAACTATGTTTTTACCTTTATTGCATTAATAATTTATGATATAATGGCGTGGCTTATTGTTTCGATCATCAACAGCACCGGCTCTCTCACCGAAATAAAATGAACAGACACATGAAAAAGTAAATTTTTTTTTTTAAGACCAAGATGAGGGTTGGGTTCATTATGTGGAAGTTTTCATTACGCAAGTAAATACGGTACTCAACATACGATTCTGATTAAAGTTGTTTAGAATATTTGTATAATTGTTAATGATTTCAGAGAAGCAATTGTTTTTCTAGTACAATACACTACAGACCTTCCTGTTTGTAACTGCTTTTGGTAAGTGTAGCAGCTTGTGATGAGGAAAGGGGCGTGAGACGTGTTTCATACAGCAATGGCATGCGAAGCAGTGGGAAATTTCTTTACAGCATACACCTTTACACTTCCCTCCCCTTCTGCAATGAACCTTTTTGAGATCAACTTACCATATTTACTTGTGTAATGAACGCACTTTTTTCTTGGTAAATCGAAGCAAAGTATGGGGGGGTGCATTTATTGCGTCGAGGCTTAAGCTCCAAGATAAGAGATATTAAAACCAAGCTTGAATACAACAAACTACATGTATGGGCACAACTTATTCATGAACATAATAAGCTGTGCTCTCTGTATAACTTTAATGGGTATGATAACCTGTCCATTACATATAGGCGTGCTACGACTATGGGTTCAACTCCGGGAAAAGCCGCAGCGTATGTGTCATTGCGTATTCCTCATACAATGATTACTATGGAACCATGGTGCAGTGGAAATCAAGAAGTTGTCGCTGTTCTGACATGACCCTTGAAGACTCATGTCATACTAGTGTCTTTTAATGCCAGACCACAGCAAACACATCTTAACTTGGGATGGATAGCACGTCTGCGTTCTACGTATCCGGGGATTCCCATCCTCATAAGTGGAGATTTCAAAGCACCACACACAGATTGGGGATACAAGCACAACTCCCAACGAGGATGCCAGGTTAAAAACATCAGTGACTGATGCTACATTTACTCTGTTGAACCATCACGCCGTGTCTACCTGCTCTGTACGTACAACATCGGAAACATACGCTCCAGATCTGACATGATGATTGGGTCCTGAGACGCTGCAATAGGCGAGTGGAGTTGGATACCTGGGGTAGTGATCATATGCCAATAATTATTGGTTTACAAAGAAGATGCATAAGGAAAATTCGATGATGCGTAGCGATCACGCATTGGGATAACTTTCGGGAATCGTCAATTGATAAAGTTCCCACAGAAATTCTTCCCGCTTTGCAAGAGCTGCTCCACAGTAACACAGTCGTGACCACCATTGACAAAGAACAACCACAACCGGACCTCGCTCTTTTGAGACTCTGGGTGAAGCGACGTCAGGCGGAGCTGTATGCGTCGAAGAATCCAGATGCACCAGGTAGCCTTGCACATGCCAACCATATAGCACCAAAGGCATGTTGGCTTGAAAAGCAGCTTTCTCGACAGGGGCTGCATGAGTGGTGTGGAAAACTTGGATCTGGCATGGGTAACAGAGCCCATTGGCGTACGTTTCGGTCGATGGAAGGCCGTTACAAGCAATCTGACCCTGCAGCGAACGTTAAGGTATCGATGCAAAGTACACCGTAAAAATTTGCAGAGCAGGCTGCAAGAGCATTTTTCCCGAAGTATGATAGCGCATCTTCTATAACCTGCCCCGAAATCGACGAGCTTGAGCCAAGTGCCGAATCCGATATATCCAGGTCCTTTCGGCATGGCCGAACTAATAGTGGCGATTGAAACTTCTCACCAAGGAACAACACCTGGTCCAGGTGGTATTCCATATGTAGTTTTCGAGAACATGGAAGGTGAAGCTGCTGATGCACTTCTGTAGACTATTAATGAAGTTTGGGGACCTCCCATCTGATTGGAAACACTCAGTTGTCGTCCCAATTCCAAAACCCAGAAATTCTCCAAATAGCCTGCAATTCTTACGCCCAATTTCATTGACTGCTACTGTCTGCAAACTTGCTGAAAAAATGCTGGCCACATGTTTTTCCTGGTGGCTTGAACGACACAAAAGTACCATCCCGCTCAAATCGGGTTCCGTTCTCATTTGGGGACTGAAGACTGGCCTTTCTATCTTGTCGTATGACATTTTACAAGTTTCTCCACACAGCCATGCAGTACACACTGTAATAGCAATGGATGTAACGAAAGCTTACGACAACATAAACCATGACATTATTTTATCCAATCTCATTGAGCTCTGATTTCCACTGTGTGTAGTAAAATTTATTTACTCTTTTCTTCACTACCGCACATTTGCGATAAGAGTAGATGGAAAGCCTGAAGGTTGCTTCATGTCCAACAGAGGTGTCCTGCAAGGATTCGTTTTGGCTCCTCTCCTGTTCAACATTGCTCTAACCCTTCTAGCATGGCAACTACACCGAATTCCAGACGTGAGATTTCTAATATACACTGATAATGTCACTATGGTCTGCGCATAAAGACGTCTCAAGACAAGCACAACAGCTTCAGAAAGCCCTTGATGTTCTTCAGAGCTACACTCCGAACACAGGGTTAGACATGTCCGCCCAAAAATCATGCTATGTTCAGGTAGCTAACAAAGCAGGATGCCGAAAAATCAAGCAGTGCCCCTTTACATTTACACTAGGGGCAGTGACCATTCCTGAGGCTTCGGAGGTCCACATACTAGGTCTTGATATTCACCAGTCCGGCAATGGAGTGCACTGGCTTCGAAAAGTCAGACAGAGTTTCACAAAAACACTTCATCTGATTCGCCGCATTGCATGGAAACCAGCTGGAGCTCGTACACATGTAGCTCAACAGCTCATCTGCACAGTTCTGCAGCCAAGAATTTTATACCAGGCGCAATTATCAACGGTTAACTTTGGCCCAGTTGGCACAGTTGGAGACTATTAACCGTGATGCTATGCGCACAATAACAGCATTACCTCGCATCACTACCATACCAACTTTACAGGAGCTTTATCAGCTTAACACAATTGCAGAGCACGTTTCGCAAAGAGAAAAAGCTCGTGAAATCAAAAGGCAACTTGTACCGGTTGTT